GTCTGTGAGGCCATCACGGTCCATGGTATACTAAGTGATTATTGATAAAGACTTGGGTAGATGGTAGATCGGTAGATATACGTGGTAACGGCTTGCTTTGTGCCAGATGCTGTGTTACGACCCTAGGACACGCGGGCAGTTAGGACCAACAAGTCAGCTGAGAGAGCAGTGAATGTTAGGGCAGGCTGCCCTGTGCTGGGGCCTCCGGTCCCCGCCTGTCTGTGTAGCCGGTTCCTGGGAACCCAGAGAGGCTGGTGAACTTGAGTGTAGACGGGCGAGTAGCGGAGAAGCAAGGGCTCATCTCTTCTTTGGTAAATATGTGCAGAGTGTCGTATAAAAGCTTCTGACAGGCCTGTAAGACAGTGGCCTGGATTTCTGAGGCTCCTGCAGACATTTGGAAGAATAGCAGTTCCAAGACAACGTGTAAAAATGTCTGGCGCTTCAGAGCCAGATGCTCTGGGCCAGGGCTGGTGTACTGGGAGCCGGGATTCTTACCCCAGGCTTTGGAAACCCCTGTGTGACAAGGGAGCCGATGTGTGGCGGTGGAGGCGGTGCTCCAACGGACTGGATGTGTGTTGTGTCATCAAGGCCTGGAATCCTTGTGAGAAGCACACGCACCACGGACCCTGGACCCTCTCGGACGCGGGGCTCTGCTGAGTGTGGAGCAGGAACCGGCTCCCACCCTGCACCCTGTGGCCTTGAGCTCCACCGGCTCTCTCACTTGATGCTTGGCGGCTTTCCATTTTTGCGAATCGGTGGATGAAAAGCGGTATCTCCCTTGATTGTATTTTTAATTCATCTGTTACTACTGGAGGTAGCCGCTATAAAAGACACAGAGAAGATGTCTGTGGTGTTCATTTTAGTGAGCTAGCCTGTCAGATCCCTTGCTCATTTAAAAAATTAGATTATTGGGGCACCGGGGTGGTGCCGTTGTTTGAGCGTCTGACTTTTGGTTTCGGCTCAGGTCATGATCTTGGGGTCGTGAGATCGAGCCCCGTGTCGGGATCCACTGTCAGTGCGGGGTCTGCTTGGGATTCTCTCCTCTGTCCCCCCCGCTGTGCACACGCTTTCTCTTTCTCTCAAATAAATAAATAAATCTTAAAAAAAATTAGATTATATATTATCTTTCCTTCTTGAATTAGAAGAATTCATTATCTTACAAATACGAATCATTTTATCCATTACATCAGGCAGAACATTTGCCAACTTTTGATGGACTTGGACCCACAGGCGTGTGAATTTCTTACAATTCGACCTTCTGCATGGCAAGCCTTCCAGGCAGTTGTTTGTCTGATTTTGTCCGTGGAGTGTTTATCTCGGGCAAGTTTTAAGGTCCGGCTTGTTCAGACCCACCCATCACTTCGTTTAATCCCTGTGCTCGATTGTTTTTTAAGGCACCTTCCCTTCTCTGTGGCCATAAGGCTGTTCTGCATGGTTTATTCCAATATTCCTTCTGCTTTTCCAGTTCTGATCCAGTTTCATGATTGATTCATCTGGAATTTGCACTATTTCTGTTATTTTTTGTGAGTTAGCTGGTTTTCCCAGTGAGAGACATATTGCATGGCTCATGCTTTGCTTATCCGAGTTGGGATGACACCTCCGTCCTGCCCAGAGTTCTCAGGTGTGGATCAGACCATTGCTCATGTCTGTTTTTACAGCGTTTAGTTTGTTTTGTACTGTACATAGCTTTACATC